AACGCTAGCACCACACATCCTACCGATCCCCGGTAAGGCCACTGACCGAATCTTACACCACCGGCACCTGCGACTCAACCACGCCCCCTACGTACAATCCAAACTATCGCCAAATCGCGAACGATACACGGCCTTCCAGCATCCCTCGCCTCAACCAGCAGCCAACTGTCATGCTCTGCATGCGCGCACGCGAAGCAGCGACCGGCACGCCATACTCCCACTCAGCATCACTACAGTACAGGTGAATACCTAAGCTCCGATACATGCGGCCCCATCCACCCTCGATCCAACCATGGCAATCACCACTTCCTCACGTACATTGACGCGGCATCCCGGTACGTCATGCTTTATTTTCTCAAAACGAGAAGCGAAGTCAGCACCATCATACCAAAATGTTTTGTCCGAATGAAACAACGCAATCCTCTCCCGCTTATCTACCGCACCGACAACGCACGCGAATGCAAGTCCAACCACGCATTGCAGACGTACGCCTCTTTAGGCATCAAGTGGAGCGTACTGGGAAGACTCGGTACGTGACGCAGAGTACAAATATAACATCATCGATGATGTTATATTTGTACTCTGGGCGATCGCCGACCGCGCAACCGGCCAGGCTCCCCACACCCTGTGTCACACACGACAAGCGCAACCCCAACAACTTTTAATCTTCGGACAACTCGGCACGATCCCCATCTACGGCACCAAAAAGAAACTTGACACACGCAGCCGTACAGTACGATATATGTACTCCAACAGCCCCCAATCGATCACAGTGCAAGACACGCACACTCAAAACTACGAAATCACTCGCACGCAGGACTTCCATCCTTACACAAAAGCACAGCACCCTGCCGTCAGCACTACAGCGGTCCTCCGCACCTCATCAGCTGCACCAATCCCACTCACCACACCCGACCACCGCACCAGACATGAAGCCAGAACTTACCCAGACGCAGCCCAATGGGCACAGCCACAAGACGCAGAACTGGATAAATTAGACAAAACTGAAACTATCCGATGGCTGGCAGACACAGAGCTCCCCACGCATACAAAGTTGATACCCCTCACAATAACGTTCCGATACATTCGAGACCACACCGGCACAGTCACCGAACGCAAAGCGCGATGCACAGCCAGAAGCGACCGCAAGACCCCAGGAACGCACTACGATCCAGAGCAACTAAAGACCTATATGGCGGACAAGACCACAGTACGCCTACTGCTCGCCATCGCCGCATCACACAACTGGTCCCTCGAGCACATGGACATCAGCTCAGCATACCTCCACGACATATTCCCCAGACAAAACCAGTGTATCTCAAACAACCCCCCCGCTTTGACCGGACTCTCAAACATCCATGCAAAGCAGGACTCCTCATGCGCAATATATATGGCACACCTCAGGCAGCATGCAGTTATCACAACGGCCTGTACAAGCACCTGACCTCACACGGATACAAACCCACTCAGGCAGACCCCTGCCCCCTCTACAAAAAAATCCGAACAAGGTCTCATCCTCGTGGCCATTAACATGGATCACTTCCATTCAGCGGCATCCTCCCAAACGCTGCAAGACGAGATCCACGCCGTCCTAACAGCCAAATATAAAGTCAAACGGCTTGGATTTCCCGCAAAGTACCTCAAATGGCACGTACAACGCCTCGACAACGGTGCCATACCCATATCCTAACCCACCGTTGCCCGAAACATACTCACCAAAACGGCCATGCTCTCTTCCAACGCAAAGCGCACACCGCTACCAACCAAAGCGGCATTCACATACACACAAGAGGATCCACTCCTGGACCAACAGCAATCATTCCTCTTCAGACAGACAATTGGCGATCTCCGCTACTTAGCGGACAGCACCACACCCGTTATACACCCCGCGGTCAGCATGCTCGCCTCCGTCATGCACAAACCGGCGCGCACGCTCAAAACCCACCTCCACTGGCTCCTGCGTTACCTAAGCGGTACAGAACACCACGGCATCCTGTTCAAGGCAAGCACACCAACCGCTCGTCCGCACATACAGCGACTCAGATTTCGCCAGTGACCACGCACGCCGCTCCAGGACAGGAGTCGTACATATGTTCCACGACGCCCCCATAAGCTGGACCTCGGAAAGGCAATCCGTTGTCGCCGACTCCACGTGTGAAGCCGAATACTTGGCAGCCACGGCGGCAACACAACAAGCACTTTGGCTTCGCCGCCTCCTCGTCGATGCACACACGCCGGAATCCCAACCGACTCCCCTGATCGTAGACAACAAAGCCGCAATCCTCGTCGCCCAAAACTCAGCTCCAACCAAACGCCGAAAATTCATTGACATCAAACACCACCTCATACAGAACCACATACGAAGAAGAACGGTCAAGATTCAACATGTACCATCCGAGGAAAACGTAGCCGACTACTTCGCAAACCCCCTCGGACCCCAACGCACACAAAACCTCCTCAACAAACTCAGCTTCGTGGACCCAAAACCCCTATTGGCGAACCCGGGGACTGTCAGACAGCACAATCACATTCGCCAATAGTCATTTTGTAGTTTCAGACCGCACAGGACAGTCTGTCCCTCAGGGAACAGACTTAACCAACGAGCGAAGACGAGTAAACGAGGAGTCATCGGTCTCCTGTTCACACACAACACCATCCGTTTAGAAGTAAATTTGAAATTGAAGTGCCCTGACAGGGCATTATGTACGAGGGGTGCCGGGCATCGAGTACGACAGGTACTGTATTGACACTGTCCTATGGTCTTTAGCCAAGTGGCGCCATGTAATTCGCGTCTCTATATTGTCAAATGAGTAAATTTGTCGCCATCCGACTCCCAATATAGAGATAGATATAGACAAAAAGGCCACATTTTTGAAGATATACGGTCCGATAGGGATGAAAGAAGCTACATGTGTCTGGATATGCAAGAAAATAACATCTACACAGCACAAATAGGGGTGCTCTAAGGGAGCAGCTCGAACCAAGTGAGCAGTGCTACAAACGGGACCATGTCAAGTGACAGCCAGTCCTAACAAAGGAATTTTCTCTCGTTTTCCCCCTCCCTCAGGGAGAGGGAAAACGAGAGAAAAGTAAGAACTCAACGAAAAGGGGGCGAGCCTCGCCCCCTTTTCGTTGAGTTCTTCACTAAAATCGGAAGCACTTGGCCGTAGCTTTTTCTGTAATGCCATCGTATAATTCCACTCCTCAAAAACGGAACAGAGCCTGGACAGTCTGCTGTGGAATGTGCAAATTGCAATGAAATTCCACCACTCCGTTAATTGGATCTTACCAGCTGCTTGAGATCAAACAGAAAAATGGAGAACCAGGCAGCATCGAAGATGCAGCCACGCGTCGTAGGTCTTGCACATGGCCAAGTCAGGCTTCCTGCAGCCTGCAGCCGGACAATGGCAAGCTGCATCACGTTTCGCTGTAATGAGGCTCCTCAATATGCATGACCAAAACGGTCATGAGAGAATGGCAACCACCTGCACCTATAGCAATCCTCCCAAATATTCGCTCTCTTTCATCAAACTATTAAGACGTCTTCTATTCGAATGAAGTCAAAACCTGACATCCACAGTCAAATCGCGCTTGTCCTGATGCGAATGCGCCGCAGAAGGATGTTTTTGTACTTTATCGCAGCAGTAGGAGATTTTTCTCAAAGCCAAAAATGGCAAGAGAACGCGAGGACTACGCCTGTCATTGTGTTTGCGGGAACACTTGACGTTCGAAACGTTGACTCAAGTTTATGATGGTTCTTTATTCTGTAGGGCTTTTACAGTGCATCACGAGGCATTTCATGAATTTCTGAGTAGCATTCGCCTGCCTCTGCAAAATAATGTAGAAATGGAACGACGGGCAAAAGGCTGACCAATCCATCCGATATCCGACTTGCCGTAACGCTCTGAATGATGGCCGGGGCGAGTTGACCTAGATGTAATGGATACTTATCAGATGTCTAAGACATCTGTTTACGACATGTTTCATTCTACGTGTACAATACTGTCCACAAAACTACAGCTGGTTGGTTTACTGTATCTGGATTACGTCACTCAGCAAAAAAATCAAGTTGTCCCGTAATCTTCTGTCTACACTCTGTGGTTGTGTTGGAGCTTTGAACGTCATAGCTGTCAAAACCAAGAAACTCGCGTGGTGCCACGCACCGAGCAATTTCTTTTGTAGAAAGCTTTCATATGCTTTGCCTGTGCAGGCGGTCGTTGACTCTGACTCTCGAATTTTATGCTGTTCGGCGCGTTGCGTAGGTTCAGCTCATGAATCTATAACCCACACCGTATCGGAACTTGGGCATTATTTGGAATCAGGAAAGATACATTTCGAGTGTTCGATAGCGGGGGATGAGGCATATGTGTGTACGGAGTTTCTGATAACACCCTTTCCTGCAGCCAATGACACAGATGCGGAGGACGCATTTTACATTTATCATTCCTCCCTCCGAATGCATGTGGAGCAAGCTTTTGGGATGCTGGTTTGTAAGTGGAGAATCTTGCGGGAACTCAATTTTTCGCTACAAACTAACGCGCGTTTAATAGTTCTTTCTGTGAAGTTGCATAATTTTATGCTAGACCGTGCAGATGCCAAGACTACAAGAAGATTTACTCGGGAAGAATTGACCAAATTGGAGGGCGATGAGCGAGGTTGGTATGGGAGGATGAAGGATGATGCCGCTGAGATAGCAGAGAGTACCATGGAATCGCGTCGTGAGCCGTCTAGGAAAAGGAGGAGTATGGTTGACATAATCGAAGGAAAGGGCCTACCGAGGCCATCGGTCTTAGTTGCAGAGTGCATCAGAAAACGTAGACGGAAGTAGTAAGCCTGTATTTTGTTAGTTGCCATCTTGGCCAAGCACAGCGTGGTTTCCAAGTGGGGACCCGTAATTCATATCAAGGCTCGGTCCCAGCTCTGCGCTTGTTACCGCCGGTGTGGATCTATCATACAGGCGCTCTCATGTGGAAGTCTTCCCTCACCTTCCACGTCGCAAACTACCACTCAGCTAAGCGCGCAAACGCACTCAAATACAGGGGGTCCCACGCAATACTGCTATACCGGAACAGACTTCGACATATGGCACTATTGCGTGAATGGCACTATACTGAAAGCTCCAAAACACAATCATTTACATACAGTTATGTTCTGCTTGAAGCGAGCGAACAGAGAGTCAAGGCTTTGAGGGAGAATTCTACTGTACTTCTCTACAGGCGACAGCTGCGGACGTCCCTGCCTTCACCACTGTCCGCTCTCTCCTCCCTTGCACCCGCTCTACCCTCCCCCCCCGCGACGCCCCGCCCAGATGTTCTCAGCCAAAGTCAAGCAGCAGATCACGTGTCCGCTGTGCGTGATGCGACGCTACGTGCTGTGCAACATGTGCAGCGGGTCCGGCCTGCGCCTCATAGCGTCCGGCCCGCGCGCCGCGCTGGCCAAGGGCCTCATGGATGCGAGGCGATTCGTCGACGGCGTGCGCCTGCGCCTGCTTGGGCAGCTGGGAGCATACCGCCGCTGGCGCGGCGCCGCAAGCAGGCGACCAGCCGATCGCCTGTGCTGCGATTTGTGTCCCAAATGCGGCGTGTGGCTACGTCGCGCGAAAGGAGACGGTCGCCAATGATGCTCCAGCTGTACCCGAGGTGCACACCCGCCATCACCACAGTGTAGCTGCCTTCAGCTCGTATTCTCACGGTCTCTTTAAAAGGGATGAAATATCGAATATCGAGTGGCTTCCTGCGTTTTTCAGCCATCGTACTGCTCAAATCTTCAAAAATTCGATGCGTATCAGGTACAAAAGTGTAGTCCAAGTCTTTCATCGCCATTTCGATTTCGACAGTGATGGCGGGTGTGCCTCCGCGGTGTGCACCGTGGAGGCACTCCAAAACATCGTTGAAGGTCTGTAATGTGAGTCGTGTGTATAGGGAACAACGCAGAGCTCATTTATTGGGAAAGAAGTCGTTAATAACAGCCTGCTTAGAAGCTGCATTTTTGGATGTCTCCCTTGCGGCAATGGAATCCTTCTTCGCCTTACGGTGATACATAGAAGCCTCCATCACATTACAATTATAAGCTAAAACCTCCACAGTACTAAACATCTCTGCGATTTGCAAAGAACTGGGAACCGCTTGTACGACTTTTCCCTTATTTGTGTCATTATCTTCGTCATCGCTAGAGAATGTGGAGGCATTCCAAGGCTCGAAACTATCCTGTAGTAAGTCATCCATAGCGTCGTTTACAATTCCCTCTCGAACTGCGCCAAGCTCTTCGACATCGATCCATCCCTCTATAGAATCCCTTGTTAAATATGAGTCGCAGTAAATAGCTTAACAATCATCGTTGGACACATTCACACTGAGGCATTGCATCATTGATGTGATGTCATCGAGCACTTTCTGCTCAACTGACACACGACGTGATCTCATCTTCCCATGTTCCGCCGTCAATGTGGCCTGCATTTCTAATGGCAAAACGTCGGAGTCGGATTTCACCCAGCAACGTGCAATTGTTTGCTGGGTGGTATCCTTCCAGGTATCAAGTACCATCTCTGCAACGTCTACCATATGAGGGTCATATCCCTCCCAATGCCGTTTGTGCCTGGCCTAATTTTTTGTTGGTGTCACTCTTCTCCGCACGCTGCTCAATGTCAATCACAATTTTTCAACATGTGGTGCCTACACTTACTTTTCCATGATGAAATAATGCCCAGATCCATCGGCTGGTGAACTGCAGTATAATTTGGGGGAAGGGTGACAATTTCCATTTGCCCTGTATGATTAACTATGTCAGTACCGTGCGGACCGCAGTTGTCCATAAGAAATATAACAGGCCTAGATGTTCTCTGCCTTATAAAAGGAACAAATAAATTATAGAACCATTTCTTGAAAGTTACAGAATCCGAGCATGCATTACGGTGACTGAAGTAGGGCACAGGGGGAGTACCCAGCCGAAACCAACGGAGATTCTTGGCCTTGCCGATGATTACCATCGGGAGCTTGCATGTACCATCCGCATTCGTGCCAACAAGCGCCGTAATCCTGCCTTTCGCATTCATTGCCTTGGTACCACGAACAGACCTCTTGTTTTTATATGTGCAAATGTATGTGCGTCTGGGAAGAAGTGTAAAAATAAACCAGGCTAGTCCACATTTTATATATTCTGCAGTTCATATTCGCGAAGTTTGGCTCTCAATGCGTCTACATCCGCTGCGACGCCCGCAACGTCAACACTACCAGCCTCGCCGTGAAGGGCGACAGAGCGCAATCCGTGTCTCTTGACAAATTTGTCTGTCCATCCTCGTGAAGCGGAAACTGACGAAGCGCACATTCTTGCGACTCAGTTAGATCTTTCAGTAATAATTTATCTCGCAAGTATATTGCTTTTGCCGCAATGATACTATGTGTGATGGACATTTTGGCAGAACGGGCAAGAGATATGAAGGACATAATGCTGGACTCCAGTATAGGGAATGGGGCCTCCCTCACTGTCTTTGTTGTAAAGGAAATGTTGGCGGTTTCTGCTTTCTTCGTAAGTGATTCAAGATTGGTAGCAATATTCGATGCTGTTCGCCGCGAGACCGAATACTCCTTCATGATGTGGTTGGCGGAGTATCCGATTTTGAGTAGGCGACCGACCTCAATTATTTCATTAAGGGTGAGCGGCGTGCGAGAAGTTGGAGAAGGATTGAGATGCGAGGGTGGTTCTTGAGTGGGAGGTCCCATGACGGTTGAAAAGTTGCTTTCAATGTGTCTCTCAGCAAGCGATGCAATGGGGTTTCGCTTATAGAGAAAACCGATGAGGTTTGCTCACTCCGCTTTCCGCCGTCGCACCTTCGACTCTGCAGTTCTGCTACTGCTGAAGCCATACGTGTATGAACATGTGTAGGAATTATGATAACCGTGCCATGGAGTTTTGCATAGCCCTAATGCGTGGGAGGCACTATTCCAAGTAGCACTATTGCGTGACCCCCTGTACGCAAACGACTCTGCCTCCCTGGCACGCGGCCCCAGTCCAAGGGCGTCCAAAAGCAATCGAAATCCTCCAGAAACCCCTCGCGTCCCTAACGGACGACCCCCCCCCGAAGAACTCCGTCTCACACAAGACCTCGCACAATGGTCAACACGGATCCCGCGCGTTCGCCTCCGTCTGCGGTAACAGCGGCTGCCACAGCCGCTCTCGCCGCAGCCGTCGCAACCCTTCCAGGTTCCGCCCCAATCTCCGTCCCTGTTCCGTCAATCCCCACCACTACGCCCCCGTCTATTACCTCCTTCTCCTCCCCGTCTTCATCCGCTCGGCATTCATCCCAACCACTGCGCTATCCCCGCCCGCCTCGAGCCCTGATATCCGGAGACCTCTCCCTCAAAGTCTGACCGTATCCACTCCCCCCGCCGTGCGCGACGATCAACCCCTACCCCCTTACAATCAAATCCGACAAGTCAACAGAGTCCCTACGCCCATGTCCCGATCCCTTCTTTCGCATATGCGGGGCCCTGTTTGCTCCCTGGGTTTATAATATGGCCCCAGCCTCTTATATCCTCCTGTCGGCGTCACGGCACCCTCCATCTTCGGAAACTCATTTGGCACATCAAGCCAAAGACCGCTTTTTAAGACAGAGGATCCTCCTGTCCGTAGCAATCTTTCCCAGAGTCCCTGCAGCTAGCCTCCGATGGAACGCGGATAGCGTCGAAGCACAGTCACCGACAGCGGGAAACCAGCCCCCGGCGTTTTCACTGAGTGCGACACGTTGGTTCCAGGCGTGCACTGGTAGTGCCCCTATGCGCTGTGTACGACTCGCCAACCGACGCGAGCGAGCGCAGGCGATCCGCGGGCGCTCGGCCGCTAACGGACGCTGCAGCTGGCACAGCTTTCAACGGGGCGGCACCGGAGGACTCCGGCACTGACTGCGCCACCTTGCCCCGGGCAAGCCGCCGCACGCCCTGCGCTCCCCCCGAAGGAGGAAAGGGAAGCCAACAGCGGCCCGTAACACGCACATATGCGCGCGGCGGTGCACAGGCGCAAAATAGAGGCGAACGCGCCCCGAAGCAAGCATGAAGCGATCTGATGTTTGTTGCGTGCGCAAACCGCTACTGGGCGATGGCGGTTAAGCGCAGTGGCGTAGTGCGGATGGAACTACGCGCCGAGTCTACGAGGCCCCGCAAACCGCCGCCCGCCAGACGCGGGTACTTACCCGCGTTCGCATGACGTCACAGGGCGTACACGTAGCTGAGCTCCGCCGAACCATCTCGCCGTCGTCTCTGAATTAAAGCCGCCCCCTTCACCGATGTTTCTGTGATGCCAAGATCAGACCGATGCCTCCGACCCCTGAAGGTGGTCGGAGCGCCGGCGGCTTCAATTGCGTGTGAGCTATCGGTGCCTTAAAGGCGGTGCCCTATCTGTGGGTGGTGCCCTATCTGGGTGGAATTACCTTGTTTTAGTGACTGTATGCAGGTCGCGAGTCGTGCGGTTTTCTGAGTGGAACCACACTCCGCCGGACTCGCAGGCTGCCTATTTGTGTTTTTTGGTGTGGGGGGGCTTGGATTTGTATGCTGGATTTGTGTTTGGCATACAGTGTGTCTTTAGGGGGTTCGTAAAGATGTCGGATTTTTGGTCTGTCGTTGGTATGCGAAGGACCTTGATTTTGCCGGTTTGGACGGTTTCGTGCAAGAAGTGGTATCGAATGTCGATACATTTTCGCCTTCTTGTGGCGCCTTTGTTTTGCGAAATTTGCGCTGCCACAGTGTTGTCAATGTGCAGTGTTGGTTAGTGTGTGGGAATGGTGGTTTCCCTCGTCATGCTTGCCAGCCATGGGGTGAGCGTGGTGGTTTCGGCGGCGGCAATGTATTCCGCCTCGCAGGTGCTCTTGGCAACGATGGGTTGTTGTCGTGCCAGCTACTGCACCGGTGCGTCAGTGAGCAGTATTACGGTACTTGTGATGGACTTTCGGGGCTTCTCATCATTGGCGCAGTCAGCGTCTGAGTACGCTTTAATTCTGATGCTGTTGCGGTTGCCTCTGGGCATGAGTATGCCTTCTGTTCGCGTCGTGTGGAGGTATTGTACCACTGTCTGCAGTATCTTTTAGTACCGTTGGGTCAGCTTCTTCAGTGCTCGTGCGAGTGACGTGGCGGGGAACGCGATGTCCGGCCGGGGTGGTGTCGGCGATGCACTTGATTTCGCCGACAGCCTTCCCGTATATCTCCGTGATGTCTGCACTTGCACTCTCTTCGGTCGTTTGTGGGTCCCCTTTGACTCCGTCTAGGTAAGGAGTGGTCTTCGGGTTGCTTTCTGCTTGGGCAAGAATGGTAGCTACACTGTCGACATTGGTGGGTTGGGACGAGTGGATTTCGTTTTTGCTGTACTGTACAGACCAGTTGAGGTACTTGTCAGGGCGTCCTCACCGGTTGACTTTGTATTTTATGTTCAGTACGTTGTACAGGTCTTCGATCATCCATCGTGACGTGGCGACGGGCAAAAAATCATCTATGCTGAACCAGAACGAGTATGATATTCTGTTGATCTCGTTTCATGAAGAGGGAGATGTCTGCGCGGAGTTGTTTGTACCCGTGTTTTTAGGTAGGTGTGCAACTCCGTTCTGTAAATGTTTGATGCGTCTGCTGTGCTGTACAAATTTACCTGCAGCTGCCGGTGGTTTCTCTTGTGTTTGTATGTTCTGTGAAATCGTGGTGGTTGCCATACGAACACTTTCTTGGAGTGCTGGTATTTTTCATGGAGGTATGCCCCCGCTATGTCGAAGTGCACGACGTGCATGGCCATTGATGGGGCAATTACGAAGAGGGATCGGATCGCGGTCAGGTCCGCCATGTATGTTGCGGTTTTATAGGGGTCGAAGTATACTGTAGGCTTCGTGAGGTCCCCTCTAATTGAGCATCTTGCTTTGGGCTCTGTGCCCTTGATGGTCTTGCCATGCTTGTAGCGGTACGTCATCGTGGTCGGCAGGATGTTTTTTGGTTGGCCGGGCTGGTTGTGTCGTTCCAGTCAATTGTGTTCATCCTGTCAAGCTGGTCTAGCTCATCATTATGGGCCTTGCGCCAGTGTGCGGCGTAGGGGAATTTTTTCCCCGCTTCAGTGTCTTGGGTGCTGCCGTGGTGGTGGTGATTTTGGTGGGGATGTTGCTCGTACGTGTGGTGCAATGCGCCTGGAAGGCGGTGGGCAAGGTCGGCGACCCACACGGCCCGAACACAAACAAACAAACGGAACAACCAAAGCAGCCGGCAGCGCAATGCCACGGAACGTTCGGAGCTCCCTTTCCCTTTATGTCGGCTTGCGGCCTGCGGTAGCTCGAATCCCTAAAGGGGGGCGAAGGAAGAAAAGCCCGGCCGGGGAATAGGTGTGGTAAAGACTTGACAAGGCAAATTCTCGACGAGTGCAGGGGTGTCTAGGTAGACCTGATCCGCTGGGTCGTAAATCCAATGCTCGTGGAGCGCCTTGATACCTCATACCCTTGATAAGGTCTTCGACGGGGACCTCGCAACGTAGCCCGTCGGGAAAGAAGAAAAAGTAGTGTAGTGCAATATGCGGGGTTTACCGGGGGGGTGAAGTGAAAAGAAACTAAGTTGGAATGTGAATACTGTAGTCCGGGATTGAGGGACACACGTGTGAATATTTGCACAGTTTTCATTTTAATTATTAATTTTATGTAGTTAATTAGTCAGTATTAATCTTGCTGACATTAGATCTGATCTACGATCTAGCGCCGCAAGCTACTGTAGTGGCTCTGGTGGGGCGATATATACCTTAGCCCTCTGACCACCAAGTCAGTAAAGGCCCGAGTTGCCAGAGTTAGATATCGCCTTGGTTGGAGTCTGTCTTTTACAAGACATTCCCTTTTACTACAGATTACTTTATCCATTGCACTCGGGGGTCCCCTTTTCTTATCCATTTACCTTTTCTATCTCTAATTCCTATCCTTTTCTATCTCAACATCTATTTTCCCTTAATTTTGTTGGTTCCATTGGAGTCGGTCGCGACCGATCCGGTGTTGGTGTGATTGTCATCGGGCTGCACGTTGATCGTAGCGCTGCTACAGTGTCCTGTTCCGTTGGAAGGCTGTTGCAACCACGCCTCCTTCGAAGGTCTTATCATACAAGACAGTGTTGGTACCATCAGATGCGATTGCGATCGCATTAGTGTCGGTGTTTTGCCATGAGGCGACACGTTGGTCGTAACGTTGCTACATAGTTACGTTCCCGTCGGGTAGTGCTAATCGAGCCCTCGTCGAAGACCTTGAAGTATACTTAAGGTGTTGAAGACGCTCAACGAGCTTTGGCCTTACAACCCAGCGAACCGCCGTTACCTTTCAGTAGACAACGCCCAACCCGCACTCGTCGAGCACTCAAGTCTTCGCAAGTCTATCCCACCATTCATCCTCCCGGGCCGGGCATCTTCCCTAAGCCCCCCCGTCGGAGTCGAGCTACCGTGGGCTGCAAGCCCACATAAGGGGAAAGGAAGTCCCGAGCGCTTCGTAGCGCGTGCCGCCGGCAGTGGTTGTTGCTGTTGCTCTGTTTGTCCTTTTTGCTTGTCCGTCGGACTGTGGTCGCGGCCTGCTAGGCACATTGCAGTACAAGTAGCAGCGCTACACCTTCGTACTGCCCGATGGCAAAGTACCGACACCGGATCGTTCGCAACTGGATTCTGATAGAACCAACGCTATCTTATACACGAGATGAGATCTGCGTCGGAGACGTCGTCGCAACAGCCTCCGACGGAACGGACAACAGTAGCAGCGCTATACCTTCGTACTGCGCAGTACGAAGGTATAGCGCTGCTATTGTTATTGTAATCGGGCGCCCGATTGCAAAGTACCGACACCGGGTCGGTCGCAACCAGATTGTGATGGAATCAACTCTGAGAAAAGCACCGTGGTGCACCAACACAGAAGCCCGATGGCAAAATGACCTCACGTTGCAGATCTCAATCCTACAAGGTGGGACCAACTCAACATTAAGGGAAATTAAGATCGGGAAATGGAAAAGGATAGGGAAATAAAGGAAAAATGAAGGGGACCCCGAGCGCCGAAGGATGCCGTAGGCTTAGGTAACAGAGAGCGTCTTGGCAGAGACGGACTTCAACCAAGGCGACATTCAACTCCAGCAACTCGGGTTCCCTCTCTGACTTGGTGGTCGAGGGGCTTGGGTGTATATCGCCCCGCCGGAGCCACTACGGTAGCTCGCCGCCCTCAATCCTAGATCTAATCTACTGTCAGCTAAATTAATGGTAACTAATTAACTAAATAAAATTAATAATTACAATTAAACTGTGCAAATATTCACACGTGTGTCCCACAATGCCGGACTACAGTATCTGCATTCCAACTTAGTTTCTTTTCACTTCACCCCCTTGTGCAACACCTTATTCTACTGCAGCACGATTCTTCCTCCGTTGCTTCTTGGTGGCCGTCGCGGTGGTGTTGTTTTTGTTGATGCTATGCTTTCTTCGCTTCTTGCGCTGTGTCTTCCTTTCTGC